AAATAAGAAAACGAAAAAAACAACAGTTTTCTTCGTTATTTGTCTCCAAAACCAAAATGAAAAAACGGATAACGATTCGTTTTTTCAGTTTTTCGATTTTGTGTTTAAATGAAGAATGGAAAAAACGGATAACGGTCGTTTCCCGTTTACGTGACTTCCGTGACTGCAGACTGACCAGAGCGGGACTGAGACCGGGACCAGACCAGGACCAGACCGGGACCAGAGCGGGCCTGAGACCGAGACCGAGACAAGACCAGGACCAGACCGGGACCAGACCGGAGGCTCAGAGCCCACGGCAGGGCCGGAGCTCGAAGCTGAGGCTCGGACCCCGTGGAGGCTCGGAGTCAAAGCTCGGAGTCCGCCCTGGTCCCGGTCTCAGTCCCGCTCTGGTCCTGGTCTGGTCCCGGTCTCAGTCCCGCTCTGGTCTCGATCTGGTCTCGGACCTGGATCAGTCCTAGTTCAGTACGTACCCGGTGCAAAAGTTCGGCATCGCAGTCACGGAAGTCACGTAAACGGGAAACGGCCGTTATCCGTTTTTTCCATTCTTCATTTAAACACAAAATCGAAAAATGAAAAAACGAATCGTTATCCGTTTTTTTATTTTGGTTTTGGAGACAAATAACGAAGAAAACTGTTGTTTTTTCGTTTTCTTATTTTTAGTTTTATATTGAAAAACGAATGAACGAATGATACACGGATTCACCACACACGTGCTTCTTAACATTCCATATATGAAATGCATTCTAAATAAAACTAGATTGAATTTTACAGTAGACGCATGTTATTCACGCCACTGATAGGCAAAGCGCCGTACAGAGTTATAGTTATTGGGCCAGGCCTACTTAAGGGAAATGAATTATGTGGTTCCCCTAAAGGAGCTGACTGGACAGACTCGAAAAGATGTTACTTGTGCAAATGGGGTCAGAAGCAGTGTATCTCCAGCGTTTTTATATTTATCAGTGCCCCTTTTTTCATTACTGGATTCTAGTGCTTGAAGAAGTGAATTGATTAATCACAACTAATTGATTATTGTGACTGAATATCTGTTTTCAGGACGATAGAAAGACTGTGAAACATGCCGTGTGCTCAGAATGAAGGTTTTATTACTACACCAAAAGGTTAATTGTAAAAGCTGTACATTTAGTATGGATGGGACGCGATCTCATGCCGCAAGATAAAACTGCCCCAAGACTGTGTACACATGAGGTAGGGATGGGACAATAAACAGTAATATCGTGATAAAAAAAGGGTACACAATAATCGTTTGTGGTGGATTTATATAATTGTGATAATCGCCAGTAAAAATAATCGACATTTTATCACCAAATCTGCAGAAAAAAATCTACTTTTCCATGATGTTTTCTTCAAGATTGTCTTCTGTGCATTCAGTTTTGTTTGTTTTAATTTATATTTTATCTCTTATATATACAGTAAGTTGTAAGTGAAATTGTAAATGCAAATTTTTGTTTATATGCTGCTTTTTTTACTTGGAATTCTGTCATTTTTTAATACGTTTAGGCATTTTAAGTAATTTTTACTTCATCCTAAACCCTTTCGGTCATGATCCATGTGGTTTTTAATGTTTTTTTTTTTTTTTTTTGTAAACTACTACGACTACTACTACTACTACTACTACTACTACTACTACTAGCTACTACTACTACTACTACTACTACTACTACTACTACTGCTTCTACTACTACTACTACTACTACTACTACTACTACTACTACTACTACTACTACTGCTACTACTACTACTACTACTACTACTACTACTACTACTACTACTACTACTACTACTACTACTACTACTACTGCTTCTACTACTACTACTACTAAATACTACTTGTTATGTTTACTGTATTTAACTGTTTTATGTTTATTGAATGCTAAGTTACATCATCTAGTGGTCGCTTTAGTTTATTCCTGTGATAATAATAGTAGAAGAAGAATGTTAGACAGGAAGTTGTTGTTCAGGCCTCTCTCCTCCAAAATGGCCGCCCTTTGGTTCTGTTGAGTCTTTTTGGTGTTTGTTCAAGCATCGTCTTTTCACGGGACAAAGAACCAGTAAATTTCACCAAAGCCAGCCGCTCTCTGTGAAGTTCTTCTGGGTCTACGTTTAACTGTTTGGATAGCTAGTGCAGCATCTAGCAAGGCCATTTACAGTGAAAAGACGGCACCACGGCAAGCAACAAAGCTACAGAAACCACCACACGGAGCTCCAGCCATCTTAAGAAGTAACACAAGTAACACAAAGCTAAAAATGTCTGAAAACCAAGCCCAAAGAAGTTATGCTAAGTCTGTCCACTCTCAAAAATCCTCAAAGGCAGACTCTACAGCTAGCGTCGAACTACTTAAAGCAAAAGCAAAAGCTGAAGCTGCTCAAACAAGAGCCTTATATGCAAAGAAAGAAATAGAAATAAAGGTTGAACAAGCACGCCTGCAAGCCACTTTAGATGCACTTAGAGCAGAGCAAGAAAAGGAAGCTGCTATAGCAGAAGCTAATTCACTGGAAGCTGGATTACTTGAAATGGGCTATGAAACACGCAGTGTAGCTTATGGGCCATCCCTAGCAGAGAGCAAAGAAAAACGCACAGCTCAGTATGTTCTAGAGCAGGCAAGTGTCACCGCAGCAGAGGTACCGATCCCAGCAAAGACTAATCACACTGCCCCAGAAAACCCCTTTCAACCTGTCATTGCAATACAAGAAGACAACTCAAACTATGCAGGTTCTGGAACTAAATTCAGTGAACCTCCGTCCACAAGTTTCAAACCCCCTGTCCAAACTTCACCCAAAGCAAATTACGCATGCAACAGCCATGTCCCAACTCAACCAACCTATGACCTGGCCAAATACCTAGCCCGCAGTCAGCTCATAACTACAGGCCTTACCAGCTTTGATGACCATCCTATGAACTACTGGGCGTGGAAGTCCTCTTTTAAAACCGCTATAGCAGGCTTGGACCTATCAGCAGGGGAAGAACTTGATTTGCTCGTACGTTATCTTGGTAAAAACTCAGCCAGACAAGTGAAACAAATGAAAGCTGTTAACATCAGATGTCCTGAAGCTGGTTTAGCTATGGCTTGGGACAGGCTAGAAGAAGAATACGGCTCTCCAGAGGCTATCGAACAAGCCCTCTTTCATAAGATAGAAAGCTTTCCCAAAATCACATCCAGAGATCCCTTCAAACTCCGTGACCTTGCAGACTTAATGCTAGAGCTGGAGGCAGCCAAGTTAGATGGTTACTTACCCGCCTTGTCTTATTTGGATACGTCCAGAGGAATCCAACCAATAGTTGACAAGTTGCCCTACAATATACAAGAGAAGTGGATGAATTATGGCTCAAAGTACAAACGTGATCATGGTGTCAGCTTCCCTCCATTCACTGTGTTTGCCAACTTCATACGAACTGAAGCCAAAACACGAACTGACCCCAGCTTTAACCTCTACAGCTCTAACCAACCAACAGAGAGAAAACATGTGACTGAAAGATTTTCTAGAGTGCCCATATCTGTCCACAAAACTCAAATACAAGACAAAACTGATGCAGAAAGGTTTAAAAGTGCAGTAAATCCTAACAAACAGTGTCCAATTCACAACAAACCCCATCCTTTAAAGCGATGTAGAGGCTTCAGAGAGAAAGCTCTGGAGGAGCGAAAACAGATCCTCAAAAAATATAACATCTGCTTTCGCTGCTGCTCATCCACTGACCATCTCGCTAAGAACTGTACAGCAGAGATCAACTGCACAGAGTGTGACAGCAATAACCACATTTCTGCTCTCCATCCAGGTCCAGCACCGCAAGAGTCTAAATCGCCCCCTCCCCCACAGCATGGCGGGGAGAGTGGCAAAGCGGACGTCCAAGAAGTCACCTCTCGGTGTACTGAGGTGTGTGGAGAAGGAGTGAGTGCAAGGGAATGTTCTAAGATCACGCTTGTGAATGTGTACCCTGCTGGCCACAAAGAACTGTCCAAAAGAATGTATGTAATCTTGGATGAACAGAGTAACCGCTCGCTTGCACGTTCACAGTTCTTCGAGTTGTTTCAGATCCAAGGAGCGAACCACCCGTACACATTAAAAACGTGTGCTGGGCTTACAGGAGTATCAGGAAGAAGAGCTTGCGGCTTCATGGTGGAGTCAGTGAATGAAAAGCTAAGTCTTCCTCTGCCAACACTCCTTGAATGTAATGACATTCCAAACAACCGCTCAGAAATACCTACGCCAGAAGCCGCTCATCACCACGCCCATCTGCACCAGATTGCCAACATGATCCCACCACTGGACCCCAACGCTGACATACTTCTCCTGCTGGGCAGAGATGTGCTGAGGGTTCATAAAGTCAGAGAGCAGATAAACGGCCCTGGTGACACCCCATTCGCTCAGAGACTTGACTTGGGATGGGTGGTCGTAGGTGACGTCTGCCTTGACGGAGTACACAGACCCCCACAAGTGAGCAGCTACAAGACATTCATATTAGAGAATGGTCGTGCGAGTCATCTCCAGCCATGCAACAGTCAGATTACTGTTAAAGAGACATTTACAAAGATTCCTGAGTACTGTCACTGCCTCACAAGCCCTCGTGTATCAGGATGTAACATGGACAGTATTGGTCAACAAGTTTTTGCACGCACATCAGAAGATCACAAACTTGCACCATCAGTTGAGGACATGCAGTTTCTCCAAATAATGGACTCTGAGTTCTATCAGGACAGCGACAATAGCTGGGTGGGTCCTCTGCCTTTCCGATCTCCGCGACAACGGCTGCCCAACAACAGACAGTTGGCTTACGACCGCCTTATGTCACTCAGACGCACTCTGGAAAAACGGCCTGAAATGAAAGTGCACTTTCTGGAGTTTATGGAGAACATGCTCACTAAAGGACACGCCGAGGTTGCACCATCTCTTAGTCAGAATCAGGAGTGCTGGTACCTGCCTCTGTTCGGGGTTTACCATCCGAGAAAACCCAACAAAATCAGAGTTGTGTTTGACTCAAGTGCCCCATATGAAGGAGTCTCTCTCAACGACGTGTTACTCACCGGACCTGATCTCAACAATAGCCTCATTGGTGTGCTCATGAGGTTCAGAAAAGAGCAAGTGGCCGTAACAGCTGACATTGAACACATGTTTCACTGCTTCGTCGTCAAAGAGAGCCACAGAGACTTTCTCCGCTTCTTATGGCACAAAGATAATGACATGTCTTCCGAAGTTATTGAGTATCGCATGTGTGTGCACATTTTTGGGAACAGTCCTTCTCCCTCCGTCGCCATGTATGGCCTAAAGAGAGCAGCAGCTAGTGGTGAAGCAGACTTTGGAAGCGATGTGCGCACATTCATTGAGCGAGATTTTTATGTTGATGATGCTCTCAAGTCATTTCCCACCGAACAAGAAGCCGTTCATGTTCTAAAGCAAGCACAGAAGGCTCTCGCTTCCTCAAACCTCAGACTACACAAAGTCACCTCCAATCGGCCTGCAGTCCTAGAAGCCTTTCCCCCAGAGGACAGATCTAAAGACATTGAAAACTTAGACCTCTGCGCTCAAGATCTACCAGTACAACGCAGTCTAGGGCTGTTGTGGAACGTTGCCAAAGACACTTTTACATTCAAGGTCGAATACGATGAAAAGCCCTTCACTCGTAGAGGCGTCCTCTCTACAGTCAATAGTCTTTACGACCCCCTCGGGTTCCTCGCTCCTATCACAATCCAGGGTAGACAGATACTCCGAGAACTTACCAGTTTAACAGAAGATTGGGACTCACCTCTCCCAGATGACACAAAAGCAGAGTGGTGTAAATGGAGGGACTCTCTTCAAGATTTGCAAAGCTTCCAAATACCACGTCCCTACGCTTCCATCTCTACAACCAATGCTCAAAAAAGAGGCCTCCACGTATTCGCCGATGCATCAGTAAAGGCTATTGCTGCCGTCGCTTACATGAAAGTATCCACATCAGACAACACAGAAGTTGGCTTTGTGTTTGGAAAGACGAAGCTGACTCCTCAAGCAGGTCTCACAATCCCAAGACTAGAGTTGTGCGCTGCAGTGCTCGCAGTTGAAGTTGCAGAGCTGATAACTACAGAGATGGACATTACATTTGACAATATTGAGTTTTACACTGACAGCAAAGTTGTGCTCGGGTACATATACAATCAGACACGAAGATTCTACGTGTATGTGCACAACAGAGTCCAACGCATTCTCCAGTCAACACGCTCAAACCAGTGGAAGTACGTTCCATCTGAACTCAACCCAGCTGACTTCGGGTCCCGTTCTGTGACAGCAGCACAACTGAGCAGTACAACATGGTTAGAAGGACCAGCCTTTCTCCGTAAATCTTCCACACAGGTACCTTCTCCAGACAACTACGACCTTGTTGACCCCACTGCCGACACAGAAATACGTCCACTCGTAACAACAAATTTGACACATGTCACAAAGCCGATAATAAATCCAACACGTTTTGAAAGATTCTCCAACTACAGCATCCTCATTAGAGCAATAGCTTGCTTGATTCACATCGCCCACTCAACTTTGAAAAAGAGATACTTCTGAAAGGACAATGGAAAAGAGTTCAAAGTCTCGCTGACACCTTCTGGTCCAAATGGAGACGCGAGTACCTTCACACTCTGCAGCTACGCCACAAATGGCAGGATAAGAAGCAAAGTCTCAAGGAAGGAGACATTGTTCTGCTCAAAGATTCTCAGGCAAAAAGGAACGAGTGGCCCATGTCTATCATCACCAAGACCTTTCCAGGCAAAGATGGACTCGTCAGGAAGGTCGAAGTAACCACTTCTCAAGCTGGCAACAAAAAGACTTTCTCTCGCCCAGTAACGGAAGTGGTTTTGCTCTTGTCCCCAGAGAAATTTAGTGACTGATTATTTAATGTGGGATAGTTAATATCCCAGGCGGGGAGTGTTATGTTTACTGTATTTAACTGTTTTATGTTTATTGAATGCTAAGTTACATCATCTAGTGGTCGCTTTAGTTTATTTCTGTGATAATAATAGTAGAAGAAGAATGTTAGACAGGAAGTTGTTGTTCAGGCCTCTCTCCTCCAAAATGGCCGCCCTTTGGTTCTGTTGAGTCTTTTTGGTGTTTGTTCAAGCATCGTCTGTGAGTATTACATGGTGAAACATGATTGTACACCTTTAATATTGCCTTTTGTGTTAGAAATGTACTAGTTAGCACGTTTTTGGTACACAATTATTATGCAAATTAGTCCGCGATTCATATGCTAATTTCGCTATGCTAACCGTTATGCTAACTGCCTAAATTCATTGACTGTTACTTTAATTGTTGGTGCTTTTTGTAATTTGTAATGTATTTGGCACATATATTAATGGCTATTTTTGTATGTGTTTGCTGTTGTAGTTTCACGGGACAAAGAACCAGTAAATTTCACCAAAGCCAGCCGCTCTCTGTGAAGTTCTTCTGGGTCTACGTTTAACTGTTTGGATAGCTAGTGCAGCATCTAGCAAGGCCATTTACAGGCCCCATGTCTCTAGAGGCGAGGACATCGTGTATGACTCAAAGACTGCAACTAAGTACAAGGAGCGGGGAAAGGGGGTAGATGAGAACAGATATTTTGTGACCCCTCAAGTCTCAAATGCCGTACATCACTACATTACTTAAACACACATGGATCAATCAAAAGTCTGAGTAAAGCAGTGTTCAGCAACAACTCTCAGAGCCGCTGGAAGTAATTTTTAACAGGGAGTGCTGTGAAGCGAGCTAGCTAGTTAGCTAGTAAGCGGAAAAACTGACATTGACAGCATAATTTCAGTAAACCTGCATGTTTAGGCCTAAAAATAATTAAATTAAAATCTAAATACACATAATAGCCTACATGTGTCAAAATCACTTCCCAAAATATTCATATATAATTCATAAAATTATGCTAAATATTTGAATACATAAAAAAAAAAAATCTCTCTCTTGCCACTAGGGAATGCTGCAGCACCCCCAGCACACCCGCTTCCCGCGGCCAAGACCACTATAACATGAACGCAGTTAAAAGTTGAATTAGCAGAGTATGTCTCCTTTAACCAATACACTGCAACCAACTCAACTGACTCCGACCCCTAACCACTTGGAGCTAACAGCATGTCACCTATCCCCACAAAAAGTATCACATCATCACTATAGCAGCTCACCCCTCTGTCCCTCATCACCATCTGAAGACGAGATCATCTACTTTCACTTCATCCCAATCTGAGCACAGTGAGTATGATTACAGACCCCTCTCCCCTCTATGCCATCACCACATCAGCAGGGGGACTACTTCTGATTTGCAGTGCTGTCACCACCTCATGACAGGTTAAAATCTCCTCTGGCCCATCAAACAC